ACACTCACACCAGGGGACAATTAAGAGTGTTCAATTAGCCTGCCATGCATGTTTTTGGAATGTGGGAGTACCCGGAGAAAACCCACGCAGGCTTGGGAGAACATGTAAACACAAGTCATCATAAATAAATGAATAAATCAATAAATGAAAACACTCCAACACCATTATTAACTATTCTGTCAATATTTAGTGCAACTACAATACTAAAATACCTCGGTCTTGTTTTTTTTTTTTTTTTTTTTTATCAAACTGATATTTTGGGGGAATATTGAAAAATTCCATCTTGTAAATCAATGACTTTTACATGACATTTTATACTTTTTATTTTTATTACGTGTATGTATTATCCACACATTATATTTGTGTGTTGAACTGAGGGTGAAATGACCCACAACATACCAGGAGGATTACCAGTTTTGACGTTCAAGCACTGAAAACTCATAGGTCATCTCATTAACCCAACAAATGAGAGAACCTTCATTCCCAGTGAGAAGTGTTAGCTGGGCAGGCAGAATTGCCTAAAAGTGGTGTATTCTGGAGTGTAGTTGATCCAAAGTGTTCTAGAAAAATATACCTCAAAACTCATGCGTGATGTCACTCACGTCAGACCTCAGGAAACATTGTACAAAGTATAAGACTTTAGTTTAGCTGCATGTTTTTTTTTTTTTTTTTTAAACGTGATTTTTGGTTCCTACTTTAAAGAGAAGGAATGGAGGTCTCACTTTAAGACATGAAGAAGCGAGCTGGTGCAAATTCAATCGAGGTTATGACAAAATGTCACCTGGCTACCTCAAACTTGATTTCATTGGCTCGATTTTCATGCCCATCAGAATAAGCCTCGCGCAAGGCATGGTCTAATTGGGCGGAGGCAGGTTGGACCTTGTTTTGGTATCTTTGCAGACAATCAAAGCGGCTCCTCCTGTTCCCTTGATAGGACACGTGTGAAAGGCGTAATAGTAATCCTTGAAATGGCAGAAGAAGAAATACATTTGCTTTTGTCCTGCGGCAGTTCGAGGCATGCGAAACATGTTTACAAGGAATTGCAATTTTTGTTGGCTCGGGAGATCACAGACCTGTGAAGTGGGCACTTGAAGACCGCCTTCCACCCAGGGTTATTGTATTTAATGAAAACAAAATAACTAAAAATAAAATTGGAAAAAAAAAATTAAAAATGACAATGCTTGAAAAAATGATAATAGAATGTAACTGCATTTTACGTTTATGAAACTAAAATGAACTGTAATTTCAAGTAGTCTTAATCAAGGTGTTTACTGTATTTACTGTAAACATCAATACAAACATTAACCTGAGTTTTTTCCTTGCAAAGCACATACCACCCTGCCCTCCCCCCAAAAAAACAACCAAACAAGCTAACAACAAAACAAAACTAAACATTAATTTTACTGAGAGATATGAAGGTAAAAAATGTAGTGTACATTGTGTCGTCCGTGGATGGCAGATTCCATGGTCCAGTCCTGTAAGTGTGATGTCATCAGTAATTCTATTTTTGCACCGCCACGTCTTTTTCCTCGGCCTCCTCTAACTGTCACTCTTTCTGCTCCATTGGTTGTACTCCACAGCAAAAGCTTAACTGTGGCTCATTTATAGTGCTCAGGCTGACTGCAACGTGAACTCAATATCTTAAAGGAAAAGTGTAAATAATAGCCATAAATGTGGATTGTGTTTGATCATTTGGAAACTGAGTCTGAAGCAGGAAGTTGTGGGTTACCAAATTAAAAACTCAAAGCATGTGCTTGTGCTGTCAGTGCTTTGTAATCGATATTAATAGTTTTCGAAATTGTGCGACAAGAATCACTGTTAAAGAGTTTAAACTTTCAGAAAAAAAAAAAACGTGAATGCCTTTGTATGTACATACCGGTACTAATTATTTTCATATTTAATTTGATTTCAAAAGAAGACTATGTTTGAGAATCAAATGTTAAAATTAAGGAATTGCTAGAGTAGGCTTCTTAATATTTAGTTAGATGACTTGATCTCGGCCACTGTGTTGCTTTGACTTTTGCTCCTGGCTCGGCATCTTCTTATCTCTGACAAAACGAAATAAAATGATTTTCTTTTAATCATCGGTTGTGCTACATTGTACTTTTGGAGAATCATCCACATGTATGAGTGAGGTGGTACTCTTGGTATGCCAAAAAGGTTCAGGGGTACGCAAGCCTTCAGAGGTTGGAAACCACTGATACTGTCTTCAGTAGCATTATTTATTTGTGGTATTTTACCTGGTCAGAGCAGTTTCAGCTCCTGTAATGTTTCAGCTCCTGTGATGTTCAACATTGTGCCTGGTGTTAATTAAAGCAATGTTTAAATGTGTGTATGTGTTGGCACAATGTAACAATAATGGCATGGTTGTAAACATCTTTCCTTGTTACATAAAGACCACATTTCCCAATTGAATGTTTGGGTTTTTAATTCCTCACATTGCTCTTTATAAAGTACAAAATGTATTATATGCTTCATTCTTCCTTCGCAGTCTGGTATACTGTTATTACCCACAAGGATAAGATAAGATAAGAAAACCTTTATTTGTCCCACAATGGCAAAATTTGCAACCTACAGCAGCAAAATTGAAGGCGGCGGGTGGGGGTGGGGGGTAGAAAAGAAAAACTAAGTATTGCATGCACAAAATAAATGTTTCAGAAAAAGAAACAAAAGGAGCAAGTGGTTATATGTTTGTGGCAATTACATAATGTCCCAAAAAGCATTTACTGTTTCGTGATGTCTGATTATGCATTGTTACTAGTCTGGACTTTCTTAAAGAATATATGTTTGAGCTTCAGACTTACAAGTGTGTCATTGTCAAATGTGACAGTCAGTGTTTCTTTGGCGCTTAAACTGGGCTTTCAAACTAACTACAGTCTCAAAACTAAATTCTCCTTCTTCTCCCTATTAGTGAATTTCATTAGCATCCGCTTCCAAAGTGTGGGCATGAAGATATAATTTTATAATTTCATATTTACAGCAAATTGTTTAACTTGCAAGATGACGTAACTGAATACACCTCTCACAAACTTCTAACTAGAGCCATGGAACAACAATCAAGCACTTTGGCTATGTTCACACTGCAGCTAAATTCCAATTTTTGCCACACATAGATTTTTTCCGTGCAGTGTGAACAGTATAATTAAGATTTTTATGTCGGACCCGGGCCTCCTTCCTATGAGGCTATAAATCGACCTATCCGACATATACGTCGCCGAGGATCAGGGCCGGATGTTTTACAGATAGCAAGATAACAAATGTTAATCTGCCAGCAGATATATGAAAAACAAGACTTTGTTGAACATACCCTGTCTGCTCGGGATGCACAGTACATGTGAAATTGCAGAGCGTTTCACAGAACTGTTCAGCTGTACACTTACTTACACACACTTACACAAGTATTGTAAGCGGTCTGATGAAAGGTACACAGAATGGGATTTGCCGTGGGTGCTTCGGCGAGAAAAGCAACAACATGAAAAGGCTACAAGACAAAACAGGAGAGTCACTCTCCGGGGAGACAAGGCGCTAAACTATTCCAACTGTTGTTTAAATGAAAATAAAAAAAGACTAAATTGAAGAGATCATTCTGAAATGACAGAGTGGCACTCTTGACAAATTGGAGCAAATTATTCAAACGTTCCTTCTCATTATTGCAGAATGTAAATTCATAGTCAATGGAACTTGTTTCTCTGTTTTCTGATGCTGGTCAGCCTCAAGCTTGTTCATATTCAAAAAGTGATTCCTTCAAATTATTGACATTTGGACACTAACCTGGCAAGCCACACCCAGAGCACGCGATTCACCGCGGTTGGGCCTCGGTCCAAAACGAACCATAGAACCACATTGATTTACTTGCTGTGCTGTGTATCCTTTGTGCTCAATGTCACTCTTCGGGGGCGGAAGTCCATCCTCATTCAAAATGGCACGTTTTTTTTTTCTCCCAACATCACATCCACTCTTTGCTGATTGGTTCATTTCGTTTGTCTGTTTGCTCAGGTTTGCTCCATCTCAGAAATGTGCTTGATGAGCCTACTCACCGGCGATTGAGCCTGGATTTCCAGGCTATTTGTATGCGAACAGGTTGTGGTGAGCTAAATTTAGCTAAAATCCCAGATGTGGGATTCTGTGGAAGTCTGACATCAAACAAGTGTCTCAAATTCGATGCGTCAACTTAAATTACATTTTGGCCCGGCCTATTTTAAATGTGATAGAAATTGGACGGTTCCTCATATCCTAAATGTTTTACAACTACCCTCAAGACATTCTGCTAGTCAATAAGACAATGGGTCTTATCTGTTTGCGAGCAGATGTTGAGTGGGAGGACTCAAGAGTAGCTGTTGACTTGCCAGCAAATGTTAGATGCTTGGCTCTTCTTGGTTGACTACAGCAATTTACAGGACAAAGGGGTATTTTTCCTCCCATCCACCCAGCTCAAAGATCACTCATCTGAGATTATAGGTTCAGATGTAGTTATTTTCTCTGAGGAAAAACTGCGAGAGAGTGAGGAAGCATCAGGAAAGGTATATATTTGGAGCTGAAGTGTTCCAATCAATTCTCTAAAGTAATAGAAATTAATGATATCTCACTGGGTCCAATTGTATGGATGAATGCCGGCTTTTCATTTCGTCATATTTAATTCAAATTCCTTCCCATAATGTTCACATTGTCATTCTCCCCCGCATCTAATGGCGAGCTGGCGTATATGTTTTCGTCATGCCAGAACCAGGACTACTTTCTGCTTCCATGTTTAAAAATCTGTCAGTTTCACCATGTGACTCTGAATTCGCACCCTGTAGAGCGGCTTGTTTGGCTGTCCTCTGGGCATTCTGGAGGGGTACGAAAATCCTGGGACTTCTAGTGTTGTCCCAAGTTTTCCCTTAATTTTTTGAGGTGGTCAAATTGTATGACCTGACGGGTGTTTAACTATAGAAGTTCTACTGCTAACCATCTAATCTATAGCTTGTATATAACCCTAATGTGATTTTTTTTCCTTTACTCAGGAGAGACAGCGACTGGAGACAATCCTAAATCTCTGTGCTGAGTACAACAAAGGAGAGAGCAACAGTTCGGACCCACTCAGCTTTGGGAAGACAAGTTTCCCAGGGGAATTTTCAGATGGCTCAGTGCAGGGTGCCTCCGTCAATAGCGTCCTTGGAGGAATATCGACCTCAGCCCCTTTGCGTCTGGCACAGAGACAAAAGGAGAGCGATGAGGAAAACCTGAAGGAGGAGTGTAGTAGTACAGAGAGCACTCATCAGGAGGTGAGGACATCTCCGGCTCCGTGCACAGCATCAGACCTGCTCAATGGAGACAAACAGGTCAGACGGGATGCTTCGTTCACGTATGGTCGGCATGCTGCAGCACAACCCAGCGTGTGCAAAAATGATCCCTGGCTTAATTGAAATCGGAAGCTCACGATTAGCATATTTTACTGAATCCTTGCAGTTGTTTATTTAGTGTACTCATGGTTTACATCACAACAGCAGTTTCCCAGCACAGCTTAAAACAACCTACAAAAATACTGGCTGCTTATGTCAAATCCATGTTGTGTTCACCAACTTCCTCTATTCAAAATACATTTGATGTGTTGAATTATTTCCCTTTATCCATCTATCCATTTTCTGAAGCGCTGTATCCTCACAAGGGTCGCGGGGCATGCTGGAGCCTATCCCAGCTGTCTTGGGGCAGTAGGTGGGGGACACCGTGAACCGGTTGCCAGCCAGTATTTCCCTTTAAAGCAGGGTTTTACCAGGCACATTGGCATAGTAAACAAAACCCATGCATGTTAATATTCATGTGAGCTTCATCCATAGTGGTATACTCAATTCATAAAAAAAAAAAAAAAAAATGTTTTTTTTGGCTGTTCGTAGAATTTGCATGGCAGATTTTTATACGCGTTGGATACTGTTAATGCTTTAACCGAAGCATAATAAGACATTGCCCCCTCTACCTGCAGCATGAGGATGTGGTCAGTTCAGATCGAATGGAGCTTGGTTACCTGGAGGAAGAGAGAGTACGTGTTCTGTCACGGCTTGATGAACTCAAAACTCGGCTGACGGAGCTGGAGCAACAATACCAAGAGTCCAAACAAGAGGTAGCGTGAAGCTAGCACTGCAAAGAAATGATGCTATTGAACTCAAAATACAATGTGTAAACATACATTACATGGACAAAAGCTTTGGACACATGGCTTTTATACCTCGGGGAGCTAAAGTTAAAAGGACGTGCGTAGCTAGTCTTACCATTGATGTCCTCAAAGCTTCAGCTAATTTTTGGACATATATTGATAGATTTTTCTCATAAATCATTGTGCAAAAATCAGTAGGATAAATCTTAATTATTATAAGAAAAATCCATCCATTTTCTGATCTGCTTATCCTCACAAGGGCGTGCTGGAGCCTATCTCAGCTGTCTTCAGGCAGTAGGCGGGGTACACCCTGAACTGGTTGCCAGCCAATCGCATGGCACACATAGATGAACAACCATCCGCACTCGCACTCACACCTAGGGACAATTTAGAGTGTTCCATTAACCTGCCATGCATGTTTTTGGAATGTGGGAGGAAATCAGAGTACCCCGAGAAAATCCACACAGGTACGGGGAGAATATGGAAACTCCACGCAGTAAGGCCGAAGGCAGAATCAAACCCTGCACCTCTGCACTGTGAGGCCGACGTGCTAACCACTTGACCACCGGGCCGCCCATTTATACATATATAAGCTGCCATGCATGTTTTTGGAATGTGGGAGGAAATCAGAGTCTTCTTCTTCTTCTTCTCCTTTCGGCACGTCCCTATTCAGGGGTCGCCACAGCGAGTCAGTAATTTCCATCCGCCCCTGTAAACCGTCCTACCAACTCGCATGGTCGTCTTGGCAAAAGTTTTACGCCGGATGCCATTCCTGACGCAACCCTCCCCATTTCTCCGGGCTTGGGACCGGCACTGGGGAACAGTGCACCCCCAGGGGAGGGCACTGCCCCCCAGCGGCTGGGTT